TCCTAATCTCGCCTTGCGATAGAGGACCCATAGGAACGTGTTATGAAAGGAAGCGGGAGGGGAAATGAACGCCTCGACTGGCAGATGCGGCCGATGACTACGGGAACAACTAGGGTGTAATTATGTTGTGTTGGGCAGCAGGACAATGTTAGATACTTTGGTCTGTAATTATATGCTACTTGGAGATGACCTGCAAGAGTTAGTGTATTTTTTTTTTCTTGGGTTAGTTTTTACTCTCTCTCTCTCTCTCTCTCTCTCTCTCTCTCTCTCTCTCTCTCTCTCTCTCTCTCTCTCTCTCTCTCTCTCTCTCTCTCTCTCTCTCTCTCTCATCCTTCCTTCCTCCCTCCCTCCTCCCTTCCTCTTAAATTAATAATATGAAAAAATACCTGACTGTACCAAATCAACACACCTGACTCAACCTGAACACGTCAGCCATAATGTCCCAGCTTATTAAATCTACCAATTAACCCCTAACCCCTAACCTAACCTAACCTAACCTAACTAACCTAACCCTAACTAACCCCGTCTTCACGATACAAGGAGCAGGTAGGGGAGAAGAAAGAGTCGGGAGGGGGAGGATGTCTGGTCGGGGGAGGGTGTGTCTGGTTGGAGACGGGGGATGGGGGTAGAGCAGATCGGTGAGTGGTTGGTTGGGGTAGGGAGGGAGGGGCAGGGTGAGGAGGACGAAGGTAGGGAGGAGGGAAACAGGTGGTGGGGGGTCGGTGTTTTGCAATAAGCCCTCGTTAACGACTCGGTCCACGTAACGACCTGGGCGACGCTGGAACGAGTACTTGACAGTTTATGACACTGTGTGTGTGTGTGTGTGTGTGTGTGTTTGTCCTGTTACTGCCTCCGTCTCTCTGCTTTATTGGCTCTGAGTTAATGTGCGATAAAAAAGGCAAGGAAATGTTGCTGTGTGTGTGTGTGTGTAAGATTAATAACAGTCAACCTTAACAAATGACTCAGAAGTATTCCTGTAACTCTCACCTAAAACCTTTCTCACGACAAGTTTCAGTCAACAAAAATCCGCAAAAAAGAATTCTAACAAAAAGTAAATAAATCTGGTCAGTTTCTTGTCCAACTCCTACGTCCTCTCGGCCAAATGTTGTCGTCAGAATCTCCCGCCAAAAAAAGCTCCCCAAACCAGAGACTCCCCACCTAAAAGTCTCCCAGAGCCAAGGACTTCCCGCCAAAAATCCCCTTCGAAAAAATTTTGGTTCGCAAGTAGTGTGAATTTACGGGCTGTGAGTGGCCGTTGTGGCGCTCAAGTTGCCACTTATGACTTTTCCGATAATTCATGAAGCTCACCTTATTAGATATGCAACGAATTTTTCATCGGAAGGAGAGTAAAGTGTTTGATGGTATATATATCATGATGTTTATTTACAAATGGAGATGTGTTGAGGAGCTTGGCCGTGTTGTGGTAATATTGGTGTCTTGTGGCAGCTTGAGATTATCAGATTATCGTCGCGGGGAGGACAGAGATATCGTTTCCTGTCTGCCTGTCTGTATGTTGTCTGTCCGTGCAGAGGGAGAGGGGGGGGGGGTGTTCACCTCTGTACATATATGGCACCACCAAGACCACACATGCGTTAAAGGTGCCAGTGCCAAGTTCTCATATGGACCTTTGTAAAGTCTTCATCGAGGACACACACACACAGTAAGGGATAATGATCGTTTACCGTCACACCCGCTGAGGTGAACCTGAGAAAGTACTCAACCTCTCTCTCTCTCTCTCTCTCTCTCTCTCTCTCTCTCTCTCTCTAAGTAGTAGGGGAAAATATGTAACAGGAAGAGTAAGAATGAGAAAGAGGGAAAATTAGATGTAGGAGAAATAAAGTGTGAGGAGGAGGGAAGAAAGGGGGGGAGGGGGGGAAGAAGGGGAGAGAGGAGGCGGAAAGTGAGGGAGGATAGGCCAGTGACCAAAGGGGGATACTGGGGAGGGGGGTGAGGGTGGTTGCGGGGCTGGTAGTGAGGAGAGGAGGAGGGGAGGGTGAGGGGAAGGGGAGGTGAGGGGAGGGAGATGTGACCAGGTAATTCCTGATTAGTCAACCGTGGTATTGGTCTCAGGTGTCTCGCTTGGCCTGTTTCCACCTGAGGTCACCTGTATGTGTGTAATAATAATAAATAATAATAATAATAAACGGTTTATTAATAGAGTTGCAGCCGGTGGCTGAAAATATACAGACTTACATTTGATTTAGACATAATGATATAATATGCGTTGAATACATTTACAGGGCTGTACAGTACATAAATCAGGAGTTGTTTATTATTTTAACAATAGATGGGATGGTGCTGTTCTTATATCTATCGGTGCTGGCTCTTATGGGCTGAATTTTGTTGTAGTGGCAGACTGCGCGAGGTGGGTGGGGGGCTGCTGGTGGCAGGAGGTGGCGATGACGAGGGTGGTGCATTAGTTGGCTGCCAAACCTTTCCAGTGCTTGGTGGTGGAGGTCACTGAGGGATGGCATTTCCAAGGTGGAGAGAGCATTGATGTAGCCGGAGTATTCTGCGCCGAGCATGATTCTGTAGGCCCTTTTCTGTACCTTCTCTTGCCGACGTTGTTGGGTGGAGTTGAGAGAAGATGACCAGGCTGGTGACGCATATGTTAGTTTGGGGAGAATAAAGGCGTTGTAGATGGTCCTCAGCTCTGGCGTGGGTGTCCCAAGTGACCTAAGTCGTCGCAGCATGTAGAGACGGTATGAGGCTGCTTTGACTGTGTTATTTACATGGGCCTTCCAGTCCACTTTGTTGTCTATAGTTACACCCAGGAGTTTGGCAGACTGCACCAGCTGGAGAGGATGGGCACCCACTGTGACTGCTGGGGCTTGCACTGGAGTGGTGGAGGTATTGATGTGCATGACTACGGTTTTGGTGTGGTTGATGGAGACCTTGTTCTCCGTAGTCCATGCCTGTAGCCTGTCCAGGGTGCCTTCTAGCGATGAGTAGTCTGGTGCGGTGTTGTCCACTGAAACCCCCACAGTGCAGTCATCCACATACTTCCACCTGTGAGGATAGAGCATCGTTGATCAGGATGAGGAAGCACAGTGGTCCCATCTTGGGCCCCTGGGGAACACCACAGGTGAGGTGTTGGAATGTGGAGACCAAGCCCTGATACCTCACTGCCTGACGACGTCCACTCAAGAAATCAGTGAGCCATGAGACCAGGTTGGTGGGCAGCCCTAGTGCAATGGCCTTGTTGATAACAGTGCAGTGATCAACAAGGTCAAAGGCCTTCCTGATGTCAACAAGGGCAACGGCCAGTGATGTCTTACGTTTCTGCAGGTTTTTGTGCAGAAAATCCAGAAAGCTCACGAAGCAGTGTGATGTAGAGGAGGTCCTCATATTGCCAAATTGTTGTGGATCAATTGACTGATAGATTCTGTCAAATGCCCACTCAAAAATAAAGGTCCTCACAGAGTAGACTGGGTATGGGGGTAATGGCAACTGGCCTGAGATCGTTAGGGGACTGTGGGGTGGTGACCTTGGGGATGGGGGTGACAAATGCGGTTTTCCATTCATTAGGGCATGTGCTTTGTCTGAGGGATGCATTAATAATAGAACAGAGGTGTGTGTGTGTGTGTATATATGTGTGTGTGTGTGTGTGGAATTATCAGCCACCTTCCCACCCACCCACCCACCCACCCACCCATCCGGCCACTCATCCTGCCATCATCGTCTCATCATCCGGCTCGATACTCAGAAGAGGATGATTGTCACGCCATCAGAATAGGAATCAGAACGCAACTTCCTGGAAAGCCCTTGAGAGGGGGGATAAGGGGGAGGGGGAAGAGGGTAGATGAGGAGGAGGGAGATTATGAAAGGGGAGAAGGAGGGAGAATACGAGGAGAAGGATAAGGGAGAGAAAATGAAGGCAGGAAGGTTGAATAAAGAAAGAAAATCGACATAAAAAATGAAGAAAGGAAAGAAAGAAGAGGAAGAATTAGTTAAACAAAACTTGGCCTTTGAGGTTATTATTATTATTATTATTATTATTATTATTATTATTATTATTATTATTATTATTATTATTATTATTATTATTAATTACTATTTTACTTTTAACCTCTGAAGTACGAAATTCTTCATACGTTGTTGTTATAATGTTATGACTGCACTTCAACAGCTAAGGTATTTAACCGCATAACAGGATTAGTAATGTACTATTCCAACATTAAAAAAATTATAACATATAAAACTCTGTATAATTTCATAAGAAAAAATATATATCGATCAGAAACATTAAAATAAAAAAATAAAAATCCACAGCATATTGTTTTTTCATTATAAATTAAACATATAAATTACCTCGTCAATATCAGTCATGGCGTAACGAGGGTAGTAGTGACGTCCGTGCATTGCGTCATAGCCCAAGTAGTCTCTTGTCGAAAAGGCTAACTGGTTCCTTTACGTCATAAGTTGCCAGGTGGGGAGGCGTAAGAGCGTTGAATAAGTTGATTATAATATTGAGTGGTCTTGAGACGCCTCCACACTTTTGTCTTTTATTCTGAAACTGAGATGTGTTGTTGTTGTTGTTGCTGTTGTTATTTTCATTACCACCATTATCACATTACTAATCGTTCCCTTTCTTCTCTTCCTCAGGTACTGTTCTCATTGCTGTTGTCAACCATACTACCAGTACCCAACTCAACCAGACTCGACCAGAATCTACCAAATCCTTAACCAGATTCTACCAGAAGACTCTTGAAATATTCCTGAGTCACCCATAACGACTTCATATTGCTCTAAATTTATCCTGAATTCTTTAATATTTTGATAGATTGTTTTATACATCAGTTAGATTTATCCCTCTTCAAAATTGTTAATGTGTTTTCTCCCCTAGTCTGTTAGTATCGCCTGAGTCTTCCTTATCGAATATTATCGTAATATTTGGTTGGGAATATACAAAACAAAAAAATCTTGGGATATTTCTTCTTTAAGTTTAGGATTTTTTTTTTTATTTAGTTTTTTATTTTTTTTTTGTTATTTTCTTGTTTATTTATTTGTTATTGTTTGTGCTTGTGGTTGTTTTCTAGTGTAGGTGTTAGTCAGTCTTTGATAATGGTAAACTGTAGGGTCTAGATAGGTGAGTGAAGGTCGTAAAGTTGGTGGCGTTAATCCGAATCCTTAGAGCTACGTGTTGTGAGTATTCATAGTGGTGCTAAAACTCTCTCAGACACACAAACAGACGGGTTCACAGCCATTCGTATCCAGTTGTCTAAAAGTCACTACTCTGCCTGGGTAAAGCTCCATTTAAGGTCTTTACCAGTCAAATTATGCTAGTGGGTTAGAGCCAGGTGAAGCTGTGGGCGTCACAACTTAACTTCAATAACGCGTGTGAGAGTTGTAGTTCCCTGCACGCTGACGGGGCGAGGTTGCTTGATCTAGAGGCTCAGCGGAGACAGAGACCTCCCTCACGAGGCTCTCCAAGGGCCTTTGAAGTGAGCTCTACCTCCCTCCAGAGTGCTGACTCCTCGAGTACTGTGTCAGCCGCTGCCAAAGAACGGGGAACTGCTATTTAGTGCCGTCACACTCGAGCTTGTGAGGCAGCTAAACAACTCTTTGACGGTACTGGAGACGGTCGGGTGACAGTGACAGCTACTGTGTGTGCTAACAGACAGATTGTCGGCGACGTTTTTATGTAAAGTAGTGAGAGTGAGAGCTGCACTATGTCTTTCTTGTTACACTTCAGTAACTACCTCATCGGTGGCAATGTTCCCATTGATGACGGGGTAGACAAACTGAACAGAAAGTACACCATCCTCATCCTCATCTGTCTGTCACTCCCGCTGGTCACCAAGCAGTTCGCTGGTGACCCCATCGAGTGTTTCACCCCCACCTACTTCACAGAGCCGCAATCGAGGTACGTTAATTCGTACTGCTGGACGGCGAGTACATATTACATCATCCCGGTGGACGAGAATGCGAGAGAGCAAGTCACTCGGGTACATTCTGTTAAATTCGATGACGAAGGCGGCTCCACCGCCATCAAGGGGGAGCGTATTAAGGTCAACTACTACCAGTGGGCCCCCATCATCCTGCTGGTCGAGGCGGGATTATTCTATGTTCCTTTTGCTATCTGGAACTCGACGGCTAAGAACTCGGGTATCAAAGTAGGTCGCCTGCTGAAGAAGGTCTCAGTTATCTCACAGTACACACCCGGCCACCCAGACCGCGACGCGCTTATCGCCGAGTTCCTGGACCAGTTTAACACGCTTATGGGCGTCTCAAAGTGCTGTCCAGGAACCGTCTGTAAGTTCGATTGCAATCTGGCTTGCGGCGGGAATCCCTCTTCCTCGCTGTTCGTGCTGTACATGATCGTCAAGATTATGTACGTCTTCAACATCCTGATGCAGTACTTCCTGTTGACGGTGTTCCTGGGGAAGGGTTATCTCTTCCACGGCATCGAGGTGGTGGAGAAACTCATCAACAAAAAGGAGTGGTGGACGTCGCCACGCTTCCCTCTACAGACCCTCTGTCAGGTGCTGGCAGCTCAGCAGGGCTCCCTGCGTACCTACACCTGCCAGTGCGTCTTGCCCATCAACCTTTTTAATGAGAAGATATTTTCATTCATCTGGTTTTTCTTCGCCATTCTGTTGCCAGTGACGATCTACAGTGCCCTCATCTGGGTATGGAGAACCTTCACGTGCTCGAGGATCGCCTTCGTGCACTATTACCTGTGGCGGACGAGGCGTGTGGGAAAGGAAGACCTGTATAACAACGCCCGCAAGATGGCGGTACAATACCTGGGTTGGGACGGGTGTCTGGTCCTGCGGCTGATAGAGATGAACCACGGCGGCACCATCCTCACCGTCCTCACAGAGCGCCTCTGGGAGTTTTACGAGGGCATGGAGAGGGCGCAGCAGGATGGTGGTGACCCCGAGGCCTTTCTAAGTCAGCGGCCACCGATCTTCGCGTGCGGGCCCTACCCTCCCCCAGGCCCTTCCACCGTCACGCCCACGCCCACGGGTACTTACGGCTTTTATGGGAAGCACTTCCTGCCGGGAACGCCCGGAGCGTACCCAGGTTACATGTGGAACCACCAAGACATGGCCACGCCTGGGTACTCCAGCTACCCCAGGATACGTGGTAAGATAAGGTAACGCAGCTCTCCCTGTGCCTAAGACCCCACCTGTCCCAGTACACGGTGCATCACCTACCCCAGTACACGGTGCACCACCTGCCCCAGTACACGGTGCACCACCTGCCCCAGTACACGGTGCGTAGTAGTACAAGGACCACCACCTGATCCAAGCCTACACTACTGTCACCCACACATACCCAAACTACTGCCCTCCCCACACACCCACGCTATTCACACACCCACACCCACGCTACTGACATCCACACATACCCACATTACTATCACACTCATACACAAACACAACCTCTCTCTCTCACAATATAAGCAGGGTGATGGTGTGTGTGTGTGTGTGTGTGTGTGTGTGTGTGTGTGTGTGTGTGTGTGTGTGTGTGTGTGAGTAGATCCCGGCTGTGTGAGGCTGAGACCTCCTCTTCTCACCTATGTCAACACTAATAGCTGCTGCTCTGATTGGTTGACTATAGCGATGTAATATTCGTGATTGGTTAATTGACACGACGTCATTAACGTTATAGTGCTTTGATTGGTTGACTTCGCATGTTGTCATCACATATGTCATTTCTTGAGCGAAACACATTATCTTTCGCAACTCCATTAGGTTATCTGATTTGTTGGCTGCAGTTATGTTATGATAGCGATTGGTTGATTTATACGACGTCATTTCCATTGTAACTCTCCAATTGGTTGAATTTACAAGATATCATTACATACGTCACTGCCAAAGACACCTCTTATTGGACTAGGGAATAGAAAAACATAGCCCATGGGGAGAATTTATTGTCGACTCGTCGTGGCGTGATATATTGTACATGTATATTGATTCTTCAGAGACGCAACCTGGCTAAAGCCACATAATTTTATCGACCTAAATTAAATATTCTTATGTTGATGATTTCATTTGCCAGCAAGACGGACTTTAATGGCGAGATACGAAATTAACTTAAATATTTTACATATACCATAACCAAGATGACTTCATTAAGTGTATGCCAATTGGAACTTTTATTTTGTCTTATGACGATTTTTTTTAGATGATCCGGATATGTAAATACAGACTAGTCCTTGCTATAGAACCATTTAAAGTATAAGGGATTGACGAATTCGAGTTTCACTGCACCAATAGAGCAGTTTTTGCTTTTGTTGCTTAGAGGGAACCACTGCAGTGAGGTCCTTAGGCTAGCTAGAGCATCGCAGTGTGGAGCTTGTACAAAGCGCAGCTGACATGTAGATAAACGCTCAGGGAGTCACAGCAGTTCACTCATTCCTCCACGACAGCGGATCTGTTACCTGAGTGTTGACTGCCAAGATATGTAATAAAACACTCAACTTGTAAATATCACGCCGCCGCCCCGTGGAGGAGGGAGTGACAAGGGCCTCCTTGGAAGAGGTCGTCACGCCCTCCGCTCAACAGCCAATCAAAGTCGAGGCTTCCCCGGGGGCCACTTAACTCATTCACCGATCACGCGGGGCAGGTATTGCAGTCAGTTTCACCCGCAAAATTTTACCTTGTGTGCAATTTATTCTCCAACCAGAGGCCAGCACTTGGATACCAGTTCTAGTGGAGCTTTGCTAACCCAACCTACTTTAACCCAATCTACTTTAACCCAATCTACTTTAGCTTAACTTAACCTAACTTGACCTAACCTGACCCATCCTAACTTAACCTAACTTAATCTCATCCATCCTGCTCTAACCTAACTCACCTTACCTTTAACTTAAACTTACTTTAAGTTACCTATCCTAACTTGTCCGAACTTGCCCTTATCTAACGTGTAAGCTTGGCTGTGACTGGCTGTATTTTGTTTTACTGTAATACGTGACTAAAAGAAGACATGTGATTGGTCAATACTTTGCACTTGGTCTCACCCACATACCGTCATCATGTATTGGGGCTGTCGGTGCTGCTGTGGTAGGCCAGGCCGGAAGAGAGAGGAAGTTGAGGTTTTGGCACAGGGAAACAATTTCTTTCTAACTCTGCTGTTCGTGCTCTTGGCAACGACTGACGTGACCTGTGGTGCGGCCAGCCAGGCGGAGAACACCACTCACCACCTCTCTGGGTTGCTCAAACATCACACTGTGTCCCTTTGTCGCTTCGCTCGCCTTCAGAGGGACGCTCCGGGTCCTTCAGTAACATTCGGGTCCTTGGCAGACGACATATCACCAGTTTCGACGTCGTGTTTAGTGTCGCCTCTCACATAGTTCACTACTTTTCTGCAGCTGTTGAGGTGGACGAGGAGTCTTCAGGTGGTCAGGGGGGAGTAGAGCAGGCAGGAGTGTAGGGTTATGTGGTGTAGTCCTTAAGGTTCCAAAGATCAACCTACAACGCCACCAGGTAGGAGTTTTGCATCTGCGTCTCCATTATGTAGGTGTTCAAGGTCAGACGAGGTGACGAAGACCTTAAACACTTGCGACGTCGTCAGGAAGGGGAAGTAGTTCAAGAACGCACCATGAAAATCACGGTCAACACGATCAACCCACTGCGTCTGACGTTTATCCACACACACACATACACACGCCAGACGAACATTTATCCCTACCCTTTCCCCTCCTTCTGAGCCAGCGACGGCAACCTGAAGGCGTCACAAGCCCCCCCCTGCAGCGATCAGTGTGGACGTGGGGAGAAGCGGACCACTGGAGGATGACGTCAGTTTCCTGTAGCTCTAACTCATAACATTGGAGCGGACATGAGCCTAAGATACTCGGCCCGGATCCTCAGGGACTCGTGAATTACCCCTTTTACCTTCTGACCGAGACCAGAGGTAACTCACTCGTTTACTTAACATGGCGGTCAAAATGGTGTCAGACTGTCGTATAACTGGATAGGTTTCTCTCGTTCACAGTTAGGAGGTAAAACTGGTGATGCATAGTACGTATTCTCGGAGCTTCCCGCCACTGTTCTTGTGTACTGGGCTTAACGAGACGTTTCTCAAGTCTTTTTCGCTCATTCACTTTTTTACTGATAACTTTAATTGTGAATCATTTAAGTTATCTTTTCATGGCTGCTTTTTTTTACACGAATATCTGTAAATGATGCTGTTGTTGTTTTACCTTTACGTCTGCTTATTTTTTGCAATTTTTCATTTTCATTTTGTGTATTTCTGAAAGTGTGTTAAGCTTCTCAGAGCCGTATATGTCTCTGTCTCTACCACTGATGTCTACAACACTATCACGACAATATATACATACCATATGATTGGACCATATCCCAGCCAATCACAAAGGAGAAGGTGGCGGAATGGCTAATGTTTTCCGCCAATAGAAAAAAAACAGCTCTTATTGGCTTGTTGACTCTGAACACACAAAAGGTGACGTGATAATTGTCTATCTGTAAAACGTCTCCCTGACAGTGGAATTCGAGGCTTTGTTGTGTAAATAGAAATATTGCTTCATGTGTTTACTTAAGAGTGTAGAATTGTACAAGGTTTAATACTGCTTATGTAGAGTGATGATGCATTTGTAATAAGATGAAAGGCTATGAGTGTACAGTTGTGCAATAATGGACTGTACAGGAGTTCCATTAATTTGTACACAGGTGAATAAATATATATGTAGATAGCTCGTATGTACACCCACTAAAAATAATTCGGCACCCGTGTCATATTGTATCACGCTGTAAGGGTGCCGAATAATTTTTAGTTGATGTACACATGAGGTGACTGCACAGTAAACAAGATGGTCGAATTGTTGTTTTGTTTTATGTGTGTTTAGAGCCATGTGTGTGTGTGTGTGTTTGTGTGTGAGAGAGAAGATACTTATAATAAGAATGTAACTCTTTCTTATTAATGACTAGGACAGCTTCTTTGTACACGAGTAAAAAGATTTAACTTCAGACTTACTACATCCCCCCTCCCCTATCCCTCCATCCCCCCCTCCCCTATCCCTCCATCCCCCCCTCCCCTGTCCCTCCATCCCCCCCTCCAGCCCCGCCCCCCCAACCCTTCCTCCCTCCCAAGAGATTTTTACCTTCCGACTTACTACCCCTCTTCCTCCCCTCCCCACCCCTCCCTCCTCCCTCCCTCCCCAATAGTTCTTCGGCTAGTGCACTGTTTAGCTAGTATGGTGAACGATAGTAAACAACGCAGCTATAGTGTACAGTGTATTGTGTGTGTGTGTGTGTGTGTGTGTTTAAGTTATAGTGAGAGAGACAATTTAGATCTTTGTTATTAATCTTTCAAAAACAGAAAAAAAAATAAACCTAAAATAAACATCCTAGATAAATGAACACTGTATATGACAGCCTCTTATATAAAATAATGATGAAATATTTTCCAATGGTGTTTGATTATCCCATATGTGTGTGTGTGTGTGTGTGTGTGTGGAAAGATCTTTATTCCCTCACAGCCACTTCAGGGGAAAAAGGTACCCAAGATCAGGTAAGATACAGGTGTTGTGTTAATTAGTGGTGGTATAGGTTCAGGTTGGATCATGCCTCACACAAAACATCATTCTCCTCTTATGAGTCTACACTTATGAGTCTCCTCGCTCCTATAGCTTATCGGGGAAGCTCATAATTGGCTGTGTAGTGAGTTGTGTAACGGTGTGGGTGGTTGGGTGGTTGGGTGGGCGGGCGTGGGTTGTTATATAATCGTACGTGTGTCGATATAGTGATATGTACAGTAATTTTGTGTGTAGCCTTCTTTCCCTGTAAATAGATATCCAAAGATTAGTTGAGTGATATCATTGCGTCCTTTCAGAGGGTTAATGATTTGTTATGTAATTATTGACTCCTTTCAGATAGTTATAATTTGTTGAGTGTTAATTTTGTGTTATGTTATATATTCGTTGTCGCCTCTTCAGACCTCACGATTTGTTAAGAGAATATTGTACCTTGCTAAACACACACACACACACACACACACACGAAACAGCAACAACACCAACACTAACAACAATAATAACACCAACAACAACCACAACAACCACAACAACACCACCATCAACAACAACCACAACAACCACAACAACAACAAGAGTGGGGCCAAAACTATAACACCCTCCTTCAGAAAATATCCTCAGCGTGAATTTTATCCCAGGAAACTCTGCCACACTATTTTTTCGCCTTAAGACCTGTGATTTTTTGTTTTGCATCCTACGGAAAAAAAAAATCAACAGCAACACTAACACGTTGAGAGACAAACTTGATGCGAGTGACCCAACTTCGAGCCTCTGGGGGGGGGGTGTAAGAT